GAACCAAAATAAACAAAGAATGAAATTCGGAGACCAAATTGCAACAATTGGAAGATTTTATGCCTGCACGCGCTCATGTGCTTAGTTTTTATCTACCGAGAGCAAACCAATTGAACAGCGCGCGGGCAACGAAACTGTTGTAATGACTACTAAGAAAATTATTGGATATAATAAGGTGTTTAGGGTTTCTGGTTATGGAAGGACATTTTCTAAGGAAAAAAGAGAGACCTTATTACACATATTGTAAGATCCCTGGACATTCCTTTGGGAACTGCTTTACAGCAAGTAAAGTCGAGGCGCATGTTTATACACACTGTAACTTGACTACTACTAGTTATATGGTTATCCCCCAAATCACAAGTTGTACAATTCAGGAAAGGGATGAGGAATATTTGCAAACCAGGCAGCCACAATGGATGAGGACAGTGGGGAATAAGTCTCTTTGACTAAGGGACAATATCAAGAGCTCCTAGCTTTTCTTCAACACGAGGACGCTTCTCGATCCGTCACACCAAATTCTTCTGTTAATTCCAAAGCCTCATTTTCGGTAAAGTTGCCAAATAGAGATGTAGTCCATGTCATGCATACTAGTGTGATTAAGGTCATTAATTCATTCCTCCTTAAAGACGTCACACCAATTCTTCTGTTAATTCAAAAGCCTCATTTTCGGTAAAGTTACCAAATAGAGATGTAGTCCACGTCACGAATACTGGTGTAATTAAGGTCATTAATTCATTACTCCTTAAAGACGTACTTTGTGTTCCTGTATTTAACTTCAATTTATTATCTGCTAAGAAGTTGGCACAACAACTTCAATGCTGTCTAATTTTTCCCTCTGATGCATGCTACATACAGGACATTTTATCTTGAAGAACGATCGGGTGAAATTTGGAGTTGCTTGTACAGGCAGGAACATGAAAAAGTCTCTCCCATAGTTCTAGTGACTGATTTATCTGCTTTTACCCTTAAGCAACCTTTCTTTGGAGCATCTATAATAAATTCTGATATTCAGCCACATTTGTGGCATTATCGTTTAGGTCATGTTTCTTATTCTAGATTGAAACTTATATCTGATTATTTCGTTACTTCTCAACACAAAAATACAAATTGTACTCCTTGTTTTATTTGCCCATTAGCCCAACAGCATAGGTCACATTTTCCTATAAGCATTAATAAAACTAAAAGCATCTTTGAACTCATCCACTGTGATATTTCATGTCCATGTTCTGTCACAGCTCATGATGGCTCAAAATACTTCTTCTCGATGGTTGATGATTTTTCACGAACCATTTGGGTATGTATGCTTAAGAGAAAATTTTGATTTAACTCATTGCATTAAGTCCTTTTATCAATTTAATTGAAATTCAATTTCAAACCACGATGAAAATCTTGAGAAGTGATAATGGTCCCAAATTCAATTTAAAAGATTTTTACTCTCTTAAAGGGATTATTCACCATAAAAGTTGTGTTGAGTCTAAACACTCAAAAAAATAATTTTATTAATGAAATAAACTTACAAATTTCGAACACACCAAAATTGCTGACCAATTATATTTAGCCCCTGTTTAGTGCACATTTTTTTCCCCTAAGAATGCTATTTTTTTTATATGATGGGGGAATATGTGGTTGAAAAATAAGGAAAAGTTATTGATGTGATGAAAAATATTATTTTATTGAAGAATTTGTGGTTGAAAATTAGTAGAAAAATGAGAATGAAAAAATAATGTGGCTCAAATAAAGGCTTAATAATGGAACACTCAATTTATTCTCTCTCTTTCCACTCTCTGTTTCTTACTCACCTACACTTTCGCACAGACTCTCATCACTCATACTCTCCACTTGCACACATTACAACATAGACAGACATATATATATATAGGCATTAAAAGTCGATGGTTTCTTCTACACATTTCTGTTTGGACGGTGGAGGAGAAAACTCTAGAATAACGGTGGTTGAAGTAGATATGTCGGTTGTTGCTCGTCCTTCTAGTATGGTGGTGAAATTCACAATTTCTATAGCTAGAAAATTCTAGTGACTTCCATAAAGTCGGTGATGCATTTTTAATTCTCCCCTTCAGCGTCGACTTTTCATTTTGACTCTTTTCTTTTCATAATCCCTAATTGTGCTTGAAACTCTTCGAATTTTGAAGCTTTGAGTCATTTCATTAAAATATGCGCGACTTGTTCTTCAATATTGATATCCTTCAAGTCGATCTCCCATTTAAGCAACTTTTCTCCAGAGAAGTGATAGTAAACTTCAACGTGCTTCGTTATTGCGTGGCAAACTGAATTTTCTGTTATACGAATAGTTCATTGATTATCACAATATAATTGTCCATAACTTACTGGTTGATGTAAATCCTTCATTAATCGTGTTAGTCAAGTACTCTCTTGAGTTGCCTTGCTGCTGCTCTATATTATGCATCTGTGGTAGGGATGGCAAAAATCCCCATTAAACCCGATACCCGCGGGGACCTGCCCCGAACGGGGAGGAAATTACCCGCTTAATCGGG